CTTTTTTTTTACACGAACCAAAATTAAAGCGACCTATTGAATTCCATAGAGCTATTTTTATGTAAATTCAAAGATTTAAATATTCTATTAATTGAGGAAGTTACGATATGCTAGTTGAATTGAAACAGTAAACTTTTTTTGGTCAATTAAGCTGCTCCTTTATTGCAGAAATGTTTGAATCTCCATCATCAACATCCGACTTTGACAGTTCATCGATCAATCCGTCATCACTGAGAGCACGTTTTCGAAGTGCTTTCCGGGGTTTTAAAGTAAGTATTTCACTTTCTTTCTTCTTCTGTATCTGTCTTTTTTTTCCTGCTTTTCAACTGTTTTTTTTTAACTTATGTTTTCTGAACTGAAGTAATGATTTACAAAACAGTTTTCAGTCAATAATGCCATCTATCGAACATATTTTTTGCGAAAATGATTAACAGTTTTGAAGCAGTTTGAGTCACAGTTATTTGTCTAGCCTTATAATCTTTTGTTCAAATCATAAAAAAACTAATTATTGCATGAAATGTGCTTTATTTGCAGCCAACTTTATCCTGTTCACCCAGATCGAAGGATTCAGATTTTTCATCAGAATTTCTTCCATCATCACGATTCTCAGATGTTGGAAGTTTGGCATCAGAATGGCGTAATTCAGTGAGTGTTTTTATTGAAATTTATCTTACTATAATCTGTTAATTTTTATTGTCTTTAAATTAGCAAAAAAGAAGAGTTACAAGTAGAATATTTTAATTTACGCTATGCTGCATTTTTTTTTAGACATTGGTCATCCGAAGATGTTTTTTACTTGTTTATTCGATGAAAATATTTATGTCATCAGATGCCTATGTCTTGGTTCTTCAGTCATAGACTGATCAAAAGATTAGAAGAAAAAAATATTTCCTTATTTACTTCTTTCCTTTTTTTTTGTTTATTATAATTGAAATAAATTTAAGCGTAAATTATTTAGAGGTTTCTAGAAGAGATAAAAGGAAATTTGTTGTTTAGCAATATAACTATATTTTTGAAGCAACAAAAATTGCTATTTTGAATTCATCAAATTTTTGCCTGATAAAAAAATGTTCCTTTTTTTGTTTCTTTTTTCTATGGAATATCTCGATTTCTTCATTAGTAAAATTGTTCGTTGTTGAAGTTCTTTTGAAGAGATGATAAACATCATCTTTCAAATAGCTAAGTTGAACAATGAAGTAATCATCATCTTCTTTGCCACCGTGAAACAACTTTTTTTTTCTTCTTAATAGGTTTTAATGCTTCTGTTGACTGTAAAGGTGGTATTGTTGATGACAACATTTGATAGCTTTTCAACCAGCATTTAGTCAGTAAAACAGCGCGTAACATCACACTGTGATTTCTATTCATTGTTTTCAAAATTTTCTTCGTCTTGACTAAACAAATGAATGGCCAGTTTTTTAACACCTCAACACCTTGAATTCTAAATCAACTGAGCTTTTCAACTTTAGTTTATATTTCAGATGACGTGGCCAAAAAAAAAAAAAAAAA